TGTTATCCACAAAGACGAGAGTGTTGTTGTATATTGACCTGAAGAGATGGCTCTCTCGAATAAACAAGTATTTACTGGCACACATGCACAATCAACGGGGGAATCTGGGGAAGAGCCGAGACAGAAATGAAGTTGGACAGAACACATTTCTGCAGGAGAAGGAGGCCATGCTGATGCTGTGACAGGACTTTCACACCTCCTGCCTCCGCACTGTGAACATCTCCCTCCAACATCACCAGGAAGTGAACCAGAGCTTCCCTTTCATGCAGGACACCGTCTGAAATCCACAGGCTGCACAGAACAACCTAATGTGAGTATATAAGACATGGTAGAACATTGTGTAATAAACAGCTTTTTGATTGCAGCATCTCCACACGAAAGGATGTAGAGCCAGGATGATTAAGTGTGTGTGAATGGGGGGTACAAAATAAAAGCTGGTACTCCCTCTAGTGTACATAGTTCATTCTAACACCCACTGTATTAATGTCTAACAACAGAACACACTTCACTGTATATTATAAAGATTATTAACTGTCATTACTTTAACTCTCACTAAGGTCATTGTTATGGAAATAATTATCATAAGACGCCAATTAGTAACATACAGGACAAACCTTGATGTCTGTTTACCTTCTTTAAGGACACAGGCGGCTTAGCCAATAATGTTATTGTTCCCATTCTGTGACCGGTCAATACTGGGATACAGATGGTCTGTGTTGTGGGTACACTGGGACACTTCCTTCTCTGTATTTGTGGACTCCAAGGTAAAATCTTCGAGGTCATAAGTGTCCGAGGCAAGTAGCTCTGTGTTCCCACACTGTTTAGGCTATCTTCTCAAATATGTTGTTTACTCTCTGCGAAACCAGTTAGATGGGCTGGCAAGAGAGAGGCTCTCCAGAATTGACGTGGCAACTCTACCGTGAAGTCAGAACCTCTGACTCTTGGATTTGTGATGTGAATACTCCGGCCGTAACTCCAAATAAATCACAGTGGTTTGACATCAAAGCTCCGACTCTTCCCGTGTCTCCTTCCTGAGTCGGTGACTCCATTGCATGCTACACAGAAGTTTCCTCTACAGTCATGACGGAGCATGCTCCATTGGCGGTAGCAAACTTCAAGATGTGTTTGAAAGCTTCAAAACGACAGTAAGTGGAGCTTTGAGATAAAAAAAATGCAAGATTGAAATGCATAGAGGTGCGACTTGTTTACAAAGCAGGGCGAATCAAATAAAAAGAATATAGGATGAAACAACTTTCACAAACCCAATAGCTTCTTAATATGCCCTAAAGGTAGTTTGTATATTGTCTCTAGACACAATCCAATCAGTCAACAGAAACAGCTCATTTGTTGTTTTATGAAGTGTATTTGTTGTTGTTTGTTTCCTATCTGAACGCCCGGGGACTACAGATGCAAATGAGCTTCTATCTAACTTGAATGCAATTACTTTTAATTGCGTTTCGTCCATCCAAAACAAACCCTACAAGAAATGTAAGTTATTGAGTTGCATTATGGGAAATGTAGTATTGATCAAAGTCCTTCAACTTGTAATACAACATTTCAGGAGTTTCCCTTTAAATTACTTGGAATAAATGGAAGTTATTTGACTTTTAAAGGATCATTTTCAGCTCTGAAGAGAGGAGGAAGACCACGAGTAGAACAAACTTGGTGCCGGTTATATTGTGTTACCTAAAAATGATAATCATGTCAATCAAAACAATTGAATAATCTGGAAACTTTACATACAATTCATCTTTGATGTCCTGCCTCTAGATGGCAGTAAACTACAGCTAAAGACACCAGAACACACAGTAATAAAAAACATTTTATTAAAGAAGAAGCGGGATGGTTTGATTCCCTATATTCTATACATTATGTGCTATAGGATGTAGAAGACAGACGGAGACACACAGGACAGGAGCGCTGACCCAATTCATATTTTTCACACAATGAAGAATGAATTGTCAGAGAGCGGTGACCATGTGCAGCACCAGTTTGTTTCATTGGCAGTACAACTTAGAAAACATTAAATAAAGATTGCTTTGCAGGAGTAAATATCTTCCCAGGAAACACTTTGTGACTGAAATTAAAGTTGGACGTAAGAGTAAGTATTTTAAGCCTATAAAACGACATTAACTGTATCCTCTAAAAATGCATGTTTGACGTCTTTTAGATTTCCTTTTAGAAACATGGCTGACCTCGGATCAGAGCTCCTAAGGTGAGATCCATGCTGTTCACATGAAAATGATTGTAATACTTTAGTGATTAAAATGCTGTTGACTTTTCAATCCAAACAAACATGTTGGCCATTTTTTAAAGCAAAAAGCATTCGACTTTTGATACCAGCAGATCGTTGCTACCACACTGAACCGAACCCACCCATCAGAAGCTTCTTCTCAATATGCGCAGAGCAAACCTTATTTATTAACACTACAAACCACACACCCTTCTTTATAATGTCGCACTTCAGAAAATAAACTGCGCAATTTAACATTTAAAACCATTCATTGTTAAATAAATAAAAAATGACATTTCTCTTAAAGACACATCTGAACATGTGTAGTTCCTGTTTGTGAAATGAGTAGAGTGAGGTTGTTGTGGTTGTTGCTTCATCTCTCATACAGACATAAAAGCACAAACTTCAATCCAAACTCATAAGAGGCTTTTGTTTCCTACGCCTCACACATGTAATGTCAAACAGTAACGCTTCTATTGAAATCAACAACTAATGTCAGATAAGGTGTAAACAAAGTCTGAACCAAAGGGGCTGAATGAGCCAGAGGTACAAAACCCTCTGTGATTGTGATCAGCTGACCGAACACACTCAAAAACCCTGAATTGTAAGGAGGCGAGATTGGAGAACTAGGGTTAGACCGATATCGTGCCGATACTGAACATACATTTTCAATATTCTGAAGACTGCAGTGTCTCCAGCCAATCCGCAGCAGAAACGCAGCATCTTAAGGAGAAATTGTACAAAAAATGCTCTACTTTAATAATTGTAACATCTGTTACAAATACAAAACTGCAAAAATGTCAACATCACACCCATATCGGTTGAACCCTAGTGAGAAGATGTGAAGCCACAGGTGACGGTGTCGAGATGCAAATATACACACACATTTACATTTTTGCATAAACTCTATGTACATACATTACGTGTGATGGGACTAGTTTTGGCAACCAACGCTGAGAAAATAGTTTTTTCCCTCGTTCATATTAAGGCATGCCTGTGTGAGTTCAGCCTGACCCCATGTCCTGCTGGATTTCAGTCTGTTTTACGGCGCTTATTTTAAAAGTTTGATTTACTGGACTTAAATCTTCTGGGGTCCCACACAACTGACTTCACTGGAGCTGTCTGCTGTGATGTCATCACTTGGCGACCCGCTTGTTCACTCCTCCAAGGCATGACATCATCTCGAAACTTAAGTCTGCTGTGCGGCCCCTCGCTGTGATGTCCTACTCCAATCAGTGGGAGCCTCGCTTGTTATTGTCACCGTCTTCACGTCAGATATTTGACTGCCGTCGCCCCCTGTTGGTTCCCAGTGATGCTCGCAGCCTCGGCTCCCTGGCCCTGTAGGTGACATAAAAAAACATTTTGAGTATATAAAGGGATCAGAACACAATATAATCTCTCCTGAAGGAACCCTATAATACACAGAGATCTGTTATATATTTGATAAACAGCCCTTTAGGATTATTTCTGTGTCCTTAAAGGTGTTTTTGTTTTAGTTTCCTCACTTGTAGTGCTCATTGAAGTCCAGTCTGAAGCTGAGGAAACGCAGACTCTCATCCGTGCTGGTCATCAGCAACACCAGGAACTGCTGCACGATGTTCTGGAGAGGGGAAAGGAGTGGATCAAAGAATATATATTAAAATGAGATAATGATACTCTAAATGCTCCTAGAAGTCACTGAGGCTGGTACCTGGTAGAAGTGTGTGAGGATGCGGAGCTGGGAGCGCATCTTTGGTATGGTTTCCTGGAACTCCTGAATCCTCTTCTTCTCCTCCGCTTCCTGTTCAGCCGTCACTCCCCACTGACCCTGAATCAGGACAGTATCACTCATTTAGAAGCCATTATACAACCATCACCCTTCCCTTTTTCTCCCTGTATGCAACTCATCTGTAGCCTCTTACCTCGGTCTCCTTCTGCTGCTTCCTCTCCTCAAACTGCAGCCGCAGGGTGAGTTCCTCCAGAGCCGAGCGGTACAGCGAGTCCTGGGCGCTCTGAAACTCGATGATCTGGTCGAATATGGCCCTCAGCTGGTTCAGAAGATTCTGCAAGGACACGCCGAAACAGAGTTAAAGGAGGTGTGGAAAAAAGAGGAGGCAGAATAATTAAATCTGGTGTGTGTGTGCGTGCGTGTGTGTGTGTGTGTGTGTGTGTGTGTGTGTGTGTGTGTGTGTGTTACCCTGCTGCTGTTGTCTAGCAGGCATCTTGAGATGACTCTGTCGAGGAACAGGTCGTGGGCGGCGATGATGTGGTCGAGATCCTGCGCCTGCTGCACTCTGTTCCACAGCTCGTCCCAGGAGCACTCCAGCACCTTGTATTAAAAATCAAGACATAATTCAATCAGTGATCTCGGCGCCTTGCTATCCAGTTAAAAATAGTATTCTTATATTTATTCTATCTGATGTCTGAGTAAGTAAACCTACACTTAAATCAGCCAGCTTTCAAATCTGCAGACCCATCTAAAACATCCTCTCTAATCTGACTTTCAAGTGAGTTTTTTTCCTCTGGGTTTGAACCAGCAGCCTAACCTGGAGGCTACATTTGATCCTGAGTCCCGCAGCATTCAACAGACGCAGCAGAAATGTCTCCTGCTGTAATTACTTCTTTTTGTGCTGGTGTTTTACAGCCTGTGATCGTAACGGCGCTGCTAATGGTCTGACCTCAAAGGTGATGTAGTACTGCATTTGGTGGATGAAGTGGACCATCTCGGAGGCCAGGATGTGGCACTGATGCAGCACACCGGACAACTCTGCAGGGTGAAAAGCACAAGGGAACAAAACAAGCACATCAATATCACAATAACATGTGCTTAAGAAAATAATGTTATTTTAGTACCTGGCATGGTTTTGAGCAGCTTGGCGTTACACATCTGTCCCTTCCAGATGTCCGTCAGTGTGTACTCCATCCTCTTTGCCCTCCACAGGAAATTAAACACACGGAGGTAGTGGCCCATACACTCCCTTGTAAACACCTGAAACACACACACACACGTACATTTATATATTCTAATATGTGATAACAGCAGTAATACATAGAGATCAGGAGATTGAATGTGTGAGTTTTGTCATACCGTAGCAATGGGTCCATCAACGTGGTAGTCAAGACTGAAAACATCCCAGCCGGTATCACCTGGAGACACCTAGAGGCAACAAAAAGACATTTGTCAAAAGAACAGGGGATGCTTAGGTCAGACCTGCAACACACACACACACACTCTCTCACACACACATTACCTCCAGCAGGCGTACATCCAGCCTCTTGAGGATCTCTGCATTGTCATACTGAGCGTTGGTGGCTCTGACTGCCGTCTCTAAGATCCCCGTCAGGTTGTGTTGGTACAAAGTGGTGGCGGGACGCACTAACTCCGGTCTAGGATTTAAAATAATTAGGATACATATTTTGTCTAATAAATAAAATGCTAAGGTTCAAAGTGTGTGTTCCTCACTTGAGCAGGTCCATCAGGTGTCTGATGAAGTCTCCCTGGCCCAGCAGCAGGTATCTCCTCATGGCCTGCAGGTGCTCCAGCAGCAGGTAGTTGCGGTTCAGAACGTCCAGCAGGTATTTGCTGGTGTCGAAATAGGCGGCGTCGATCTTCTCCTGAAACGCCCCCTCCAGGTCTGACAGCAGCTCCGCAGCTACGAGGAGACAGAGATGACAAAGTAATTCATTAACGTGATATTGAATTGCTCTTTTTACTATCTTATCTTAAATCCTTATTTTGTTAGGGACAGACTGATTATTAGGTCACTTTAGTGCTGCCAGTTAATCAAACATATTTCGCAAGACCAGTAACAACTTTTTCTTTTGTCCCAATTAGTAATGTGTGTCTAATTCCTGCAGTCTGGTTTCCTGGTCTGCTGCTGCTGGACGATGATGCAGAGGAGAACCTGATGTCCTTCATCACGTAGAGTAAGAGCTTTAGATCAAACAGGTCAGGAGTAGTCCTGCAGACTGGATCAATAGCTAAGTATACCTTTTCCTCTATATAGTCAATGGAGAGGAGGACAAGGCCAGCGAGCGGTAAGAGCATCGATTACTGCCTGTCCACTCGCCTACGTCAATACAACCATATCAATACGATGAGGAGGGAATAAAGGAGAGGCTTCTTATTGGTCAGTGATGTTGTCAACAATAAAGACTTCCAAGGAAAGTCAGCATCAACCTTTATTTATGTGCAAGGAACGTGCGCAGAAACAGAGAAGACATGCTCTGAAATTGTTTACCGGAAAGTGTGAGAGGACATAAGAGAGACACGGAGACTCTTACTATCTCTGGGTGTGTCTGCAGAGTTCGACGCCGGCGTGATTTTGCCGAGCGGTGTTCGGTCTTGACAGACCTGATGCAGGAAGTTGATGGATTTACCAATTAGCAGGACCTAGAGGGAGAAGAGAATAAGTTAACTCAAGTAAACCGTCTTACCTGGATGTGTGTAGCAATAAGTCTGGTGAAGGATCCAAAAATGTGGTTTAACAGTTTGAGTCCAAATGTAAAAATGTGCACCTTTTCATTTCCTGTTACTCCTCTCACGGGAGGAGATGTAGTTAGTTTTACGTGGGGAAGCGTTTGCTCTTTGGAAATGCCTCTGTAAGAGATGTGTGATAGTGTGTTGGTTGTGTATACCTTGCTGGCCTGTTCCATGGTGATGAACGTGGGGATCATGGACTTCCTGAGGGAGTACTTGTCGTGCCACAGACGGTCTGTCTTCACGTTGGGATCTGATGCTACAAAGAACTACAACAAAAGAGAACAAATAAATACATTGACTGTAGAACGCTGTCATGGGAAGACGTCTAATAGAATCAGTATTTCAGAAGAGAGTAAAGTAGCTCTATGGTGTGGTTTTCATCCTTTGTCACATTCACTTAGATCGCCCATTTACTTCAGAGGGTACTATGATAGCTTAAGTCTGCGTACTCTATGTGTGCTGACTCCAACGGTCTGCTTTGCCACGAATCCATCTCAGAGCACTTTCCTTAAGCTATTAGCTGAAATAAGAGCCGACAAACTATCAAGTAGCTGAAATATGGATCGCAGAAGCAATAATTGTAGTAGATATTTTTACTTTAAGGTAAAAATGTGTGTGTGTCGCCAGAGATGGGGTTGTTACTAAAAAAAAGTAATATATTACACTACTTCGTTACTCTCTACATAAAGTAACTCGTTACTTTACTCGCAGAGCCGGCCCGCCCCTCCCTGCAGGCAGATCACGCAGACTGCTAACGTTTCAAATGTTCTCTTTAGTTCAGTTTCCATTGTCGCATAAGACAATGTTCTCCTATCAGACCGTGGCTGTCCTCTGTCTCCTGCTATCTGTATATTTTGCGCAGTCTATCTCTGCTCACGCTGTGGCGTCGGCGTGTTCTCCTGCGTGTTGGCCATGTGTTGCACTGGAACCAGACACCGCAAAGACTTCAGCCGAGCACGTACGAACTGCGCATGCGTGAGTGGCAATAACTCTCCTTACCAGCAGGCGGCGGTAGTGTGTATTTGTCATTCAAAACAGGCAACAACCGGAAAACAGAGAAGAAGAACAGACTACCTGATATAAACAAACAACAAATAGCTGTGCGTTAGCTTCACCTTAGCATGTGTTCTTTGCAGGTGTTTGTTGAGGTTTGATTATGACTGATTTTAGTAAGTAACGAAGTAACGCGTGTCGGGGCAATGTTAGTTAATGTTACTTTGTAACGCGTTACACCCAACTCTGTGTGTCGCCATGTCCTGTTCAATGCTACAACATCATGTTAAAATGTATTTATAATGTGATTGGACATCTTTTAGGAAATAATCACATTCACTAACACTGCAGGGATTTGATGGACCTTAAAAGCTCATATTTACTCCAAGTACTGTTTATTGTGTGTGATAGGGCCGTATCCGAATATTCGGTCGTTGGCCCACTATTCGGTTTTCAATTTCGTTATTCGGATATTCTTTTTTAAATTGAATGTATTGAAATCTCCAACGTAAGAGCTTGTGCCTCTTCGGGGGGTGCTAACACTTCAACTTTATCCTTTACTTTCTCCGTCTTTATATGTAGATAAGACTTTTGTCCGTTAATCTCAGCTCCTTTTGTCCGTCACGTTGTTCCCATAGCAACAATAACTTCCTGTCAACAGCGCTAAATCTCCTTCAAAATAAAAGCATGTCCATACAAAATAGGAAGCCAAGCCAAATTACACTTAAGACATATACAACTGCAACGAAAGTAACAAACACAATATCCTTTTCAATTTCAAAGAACATAAATTGGGTTATTTACATTAACAAATAACTATAAAACAACAATACTGTAGAATAACAAAATGAATGCCTTGAATAAACCGAAATACACGTGTTGAAGCGCGCGCCGAATATCCGAATATTCGCTGCTGATTACTACCGAATATCCGGAGCCCAAAAAATGGTATTCGGGACAGCCCTAGTGTGTGATCTACAGGGTAATTTCCCTCCTGAAAGGCGCAATAACTTTGTCTGGGTGTTCTTAAACACACACTGACTAATGGACACATAAATAAAGCGTGTGAGAGGGAAACAGCCGCAGAGAAAGGGGCAGGGAGGAAGTAAAGCAGGAGCATCCATCACCAGGCTCTCCATTACACTCCTCTCATCACTCCTCATTGAAGAAGCTGTCCTCTCTTTACTCCCCTCCCTCCCTCCTCAGCAATGTTCCTTCTCTTGGGGGTGAAACGTCAGAACCAATGTTCCAGAAATGACCAGTACAAATCAACAGAGAGGTGTGTGTACCTCGTGGTAGGTGTCTTCCAGCTCCCCGTCGTAGATCCAGCGATACAGGAAGTTGAGGATGGGGTTGGACACCAGGCTGAGGATGTGTTGGACCAGCGCTCTCATCTGTGGGTCGCCCGTCTTCCCGTAAGAGTGAACTGCTGACGCCAGCTCGCCTCCTTTCCGACCTGAACACACAGAGTAGAGGCTTCAGGAACAAACTAAGTCGCCGAGAGGCTGAGGTCAAGCCTGGTTGCCTTTGTCAGACGTCAAAAATCAATACTGAGATCCAAAAATGCATTAACAAAATCTCAAAACACACACACACCTTGGCAGAAGTCGACGAGTGCCGCCTGTGTTTTGAGTCGGATTTTAGGGTCGTACATCCAAACCAGGAGCCTCCTGAGAGTCAGACTGCTCTCTGTGCACACCATCACACCGTGCTCATCCTCCACCTGCAGCTACAACACACAGACACGCACAATTAAAGCTCTAATCTAGTTTATTTCTATCATATGAACTTCCTGTGTCAGATGTGTGTACCTGGGAGTGGAGGACAGACAGCAGCCTGTAGTACTCCTTCAGCTCCTGGTGCAGCGCGGCACAGAAGCTCTATGAGAGGAAGACGAAGTGATTAAAATACGTGGAGGATGTGACCTATAAGGTGTGTTATCTGGGGAACCGTGCGCACCTGTCCGACCAGTCCGAAGGCCCGGTCCAGGCTCCTGGCGTCGGTGTACTTCCTGACTTTGTTGTGGAGCCAGCCGAGCTCTGCCAGCCGGCTGCTGGTGTCCCTCAGGGATTTACACAGCACCACCTGGTGAGGAACAGCACACATTACAACACATGCATGCACATCGCTACACTATTTGTTTGTTTAATCATCTTGTGATAAACCTACATTTAATGTGTTTAGTTTGTTTGCAAAAAAAGTATTTTGTGTCCCTTCCCTTCACAGAAACAACACACACACTTAACGCTGATGGTGTTAACTCGATAGACAGACATAAATGTAAATAAACAAGTATCATCCGTTCCTAAATAGATTTTAAAACCTCATACGGATTCCTGTAATCTGCAATCCTGTTTAACAGATTTTTGAATCCGCATGAGGAAGATTAACATTTAATGATAGATTAATGTTTTATCTGTTTAACAAAACCTCTTATCCAGAGAGCTTTACAGAGGGGAAAGTAAGTGGCTATGGAAGACTTCAAAATATCTCCACCCTTGACTCTTTTATTCCTGCTCTCAGTGTCTCCTTCTCCATCAGGCAGTGACAGCAGATTGACCACAGGTTTAAGTTTAGCACCGCTGAGAGGATCGGGACAGGTTACATCTGAGGCCTCCCATCGATAACAAGAGAGGAGGATGAAATGGGGAATAAAAGAAATTGGCAGAACAGAAAAAAGGAGAGGTCGATGTAGCCTCGGAGCCAAAGAGCTTTATATTGATCTGTTGAATTTTTCTTTTGAAGTCCGATCAACAACAACAACAGTTTCAATATCATGTACTCAAAACCAAAAATGTCCAAAATGGAAACAAATTCTCCCTAATAGATTTAAATGATCATATTCAGTGTCTTTCATTACACAACCCAGCATGGGGTCTACAGTGTACGGTAGATCTGGGATGATGTCCTGAGCTGGACTCTGGGTAATGTGTGCAGCCGGCTGAACTCATTAGTCCATTAAAAGCTTGACACTGCTCCATGCGGGTTCACGTACCTTGCTGTCTATCTTGTAGCAGTTATCCTGGACGCTCATCTTGATGAACTTGCCGTCGATTCCCTGGAAGACGTACAGGATGTCCCGCACCAGCGCCGCCTCGCTCACTTCGCCTGAGGACAACAAGGGCAGAGAATTGAGTTTATGTCATGACAAATAAACTATTAATGACATTCTGTTCTCTGTGAAAATGTCTCTTACCGTCTTTGCGAGGTCGGACCACTCTGGAGGAGGGAACCGGAGGTCCGAGGAGCGGTCGAGTGGCGAGAGGGGCCAACGCAGAGGAAGAGCTGACAGGAAGAGCCCAGGCCAGCCGGGCACCCAGAGGCTGAGCGGCTGCAGACTGAGGGGGCTGACTGTAACACACACACACACACACAGATTTACTGTTACTCTCAATAACATTTTGTTATAATGTAGATCCAGGATTTTCTGATCGGCCTACCCACAGACAAAGATTGGAAAAAAGGTGCCCCCATTTGCTGAGTTTAGTTCCGTGGTTGTCCATGAGATCATTATTATGTTGTTTGATCCAATTACACAAAAACAGTTAGCCTTATATTGCTGTTTCACATTCGGACTTAACCAAATAAATAGGAATGTTTGTCTTAAGGCATTTATTAGTTTCTGATTTTGGGTAAGCAGAAAAAAACTGTTAAATTCCCCAGAACTACTGTGTCCTTTGATAACTAATGTAATATTTGTCACTTCCATTTACTGAGCCCACTTTAAAAACATCTGTATGACATTGTGTTCTGAATTGAGCTTCATTTGCTGCTGCCATTAAACATCAATAGATCTAGCTGAAACAGGTTTTTAGTACACAACACTACAATCACCATAAGGCGCATTTACACCGCAGTACTTTTCCCACAAAGGTTCATGAGAACTTAGTTCATGAGAACTCTTTAGTTCTCATGAACTAAGTACAGATCACGTTCACACCGGAATAAGTCCCTGGGGCCTTCCGAGTAAATCGCCAGAACGCCGACACCTCCTCATCTCCACCGCTCCCATGTTTTATTTTGTGTTGCCATAAGTTAGTCTCTGCGTTTCTGCGTTGGGCTAATGCTAATGCTAATAATGCTAATGCAAGGATAATAAAATGGCGGCTTCACAAAACTTTTTGGGAGTTTTACGGGGCGTGGTTTACAATCCTTCCAGCCAATCAGAAATATAGCTCTTTTCTCACAAGAGAGCCGCACGAAAGTCCCTGCTCTCTAGCAGCTCTCTGCTCTCTAGCAGGGACTTTCGTGGGGGTAAAAAGGTTCTCATGAACTAATTTTAGTACCGGCTCTTTTTGGTGTGAACGCGACAAAAGAGTTCTCATGAACTAAGTTCTCATGAACCTTTGTGGGAAAAGTACTGCGGTGTGAATGCGCCTAAGGTCTGCATTAAGAGGTCTTTTGCTGGACGATGCACTCAGAACAGCAAATAAACTCAAACAAGGAGAAAGCAATTCTTTGTATAATTAAAGCACAATTACTGTGTATTTTTTATTCAATGCCCTGGGACCTTTTTATGTTTAGAGTGAGGAATCTCTGCTTTCATGTCTATAAAAGGTGAACTCGGACAGCTCAATGGTCATTTGTAACAGAAGGACTCCTGCATTATTAATACAGATAAATGGACCTAAATGGCCTTCTGATGTCTCAATAAACAGATCTATAAGAGGCACGTTTATTTGATGGTGCTAATTGATGCTTTCAGAGTGTTTCTACAGCATCCGATGGATAAATAACACTCTTCTTTCCCCAGAGCCTTTCAGGTGAACACAGCTAACAACTCAGTTATGAAGATGTTAAGAAGGTTGTCATCTCTATTAATTCTTAATCTGAGTATTAAGAACTGCAAATAATCCAGGGATAACGTTAGCTTGTGTCTTCAACAGGTTTGCCTTTGCAGAAACTCATGTGAAGATGCTCACCCAGACAGCAGTGACTGTGGCGTGACTGTGGGCCCGTTCAGTGTGTACACTCCCAGGCTGGAGATGCCGCTGGTCCCCATGCTGGCCGACAGCCCGGCGCTCCTCTCTCCGTAGCCCAGGGCCAGGCTCTGAGGCCGGGTGCAGTAAAACGGGGTGGAGTGGGCGTCTCTGGGGAGCGCCTGGGCGAAGAGTGCTCCATAGTTTCCAACCTGGGAAGGACAGGGACATGAGGTGAGGAGGAGGTAAGGGCATCAAGACAGTGTTTTTAATAAGGAAGTGTGTGTGTGTGTGTCTCACCCTGCCGGACGGTTTGCGGGGGTCTTCAGAGAGGCTGAGCAGCAAGTAGAGAACAGACCAGCGATGCTTCAAAACACTCTGTCAACAGAAACCTCATTACAATCTATTACTAATGATAATAATATGACGTATGTGAGCGATGTCCTGTTACAGTTCAGAGGGTTTCCTGCAGTACACACCTGCGTCTGAAGTTTTCTATGCAGCTCTGAGAACAGAGCAGCGTCGGCTTCTCTCCTCTGCTTCAGCACTGCAACAGCATCATTATTTAAAAAGGAAAAACGTTACACACACAGCCTATCTCTATAGTAAGGAAATGACTTGCTGGGGAACATGAGGTTGCTATTCTTGTTTTGACAACACACATTTTATAGCAACTCCATTACCCTAACAAACACTTTTAACAAAGTTCCCATAAGTCCACCAAATAAACACTTTGTACAGTAAGTGCTGCGCTATTTTCTGCGTCAAAGCATGGATCGATGTATTCCCACTAATAGTGCAACCTTGGGAACTATAAAACTACTTGGATGTGCTGTTATGGGGCAATAAAGCTTTTGACTTTTTCTGGGAGGGCTCCAGCATTAAAGGCAAAAGGTCTCTCTTATCAAAAACTACTGGACAGCAACCGAGACGGGATAGTTTTGCTTGTGGATGAGAAAAAATGTGATAATATAATGTAGGTAAAGTTTTGTAACGAGCTACAATCGTAAAGTAAAGGATAATATGAATGTGTGATCATTAAGGGATAATATTTGTCCAAACTTACATTCTTTCTTGATCTTCTCTGACACCAGGAACTCATCCCGTTCAATAGTGGGGGCGTAGTTACTGCCAATGACTCGCACTGCATACTGGAACTGGTGGGCAACTTCAGCTGGAGAAATAAAAAAACAGGTACTGAGTAAAAGTCATGGCAGCACTCTTAAGTCCATCACTTGTTTTGACAAGGAGTTTTATATGTGCTGCTGTCAGTTCACATATCAATTAAGGCTAATTGAAAATGTTACTTTAAAAAGTTGTGAATAAACAGTATAAGATTTTAAAAGCTAGATACTAGTAGGAACCTGATAGAAATGTGTTATGGCATTGAAAAAGATTGTGAATAATGGGGCACTAATAATCTCTGGATAAATATCAAATAAAAGCATTGCCAGGCTGCAAAGCTTTGCTGCATTTGATCATGCAGTCAAATCTGCAATTGAATTAAATTGCCTGAAAAACAAGCATCATAATGTTTCCGTTATCTCTGAATCCATCATGCATCTCTGCATCCAGCAGCGGCCTGCAGCTAGCAGTGTTTGCAAGTAACAGTGTGTTGGTCAGCATGAGAGCTAACAGATTTGCAAACTCATAGATAGATTAATTAAAATGCTAATTGTTTTATCCAACCAAAGCTTGCAGTGTTATATTTACAGCTGGAGGTGCCATAAAGCTGTTTAGTGTGATGTGCAGTATCTGGCCGAGCCCATTGAATGACAGCTAACGTTACCGCGCCACAGCTAAAGTAAAACCAAACTCAAAGCAACTCTATTTTTTTGTCGATCTCATATTTTAGAGTGTCTTTTTCCACTAAATTCAGTTTGATAAGTGGTTATCATGCTCTCTTCAATTCGGCATATGTGCAAAAGACCAGACAGCTATAACTTCAGGTAGATTTCATTCTTTTTCTACCACTTTCCGTCCCAAACACAGAAGCTCCAGCAGTGTTAAAAGTTGAGAATATTGTACAAATCTGAACCTACTGGGGTGCAATTAACACGCCGAATTACCCAGTAGGGGGTACAGATTCAACAAACCACTTTAAATGATGTGGAAAATATGTCTGATTAGTAATATAACGATTATTAGCAAAGTGCCTATTTTTGTCAATGAGGTTTCGCGTGACAGCTCCTGCATGCTACGGTGGCTCATCTACCTTCGCTTTTCCCCGTGATTCTGCAGCAGAGGCTCTGGAGAAGCACATTGGGTGATTTCTGATCCAGGGTCGCCATACTGTCGGGTCTAACGCTGCGTATGTTTCCCAATAACTGAATAATAAGAACTAACTCAAGTCTGCTACTACGAACAACGCCATTTTGACAAGTGGAGTGAAGCCAGCATGGCGCAGGAAGAACAGGAGCGACAATAGGGCAACGTTTCCTTCAAAATAAGAGCATGGAACACCTGTTGCATGACTTTCAGAATTGGGAGGGATGAAACACTCTTTAATGGTAACACGTGCAGAGCTAACAGCACACACAGTGAAATGTATTCTCTGCTTTGTTTTAACCATAGGTTTTAACCCATCCTAGTACCAGGAGTCTTGTACTAGGAGCAGTGGGCAGCTATTGTACAGCGCCTGGGGAGCAATGGGAGTGAGGGGGGAAGGGGGATGTCCGGTGCCTTGCTCAAGGGCACCACAGCAGGGCAGGAGGTGAACTGGGACCTCTCCATGTAGCAATCCACACTCCATTTAGGTCTGGTCGGAGACTTGAACCGGCGACTCTACGGCTCACAGTCCAAGCCCCTACTGACTGAGCCACTGCAGGACCTGACAGGTAGTATGAATGAATAAGGCTAACATTATCAAGTGAAACTGGAATTACTTTATACTTAAGTAGTCATATATATAATGTATAGTGCAGTACCAGGTGTGTGAGTCAAGCATTTACAGCTAAATTATTGGATAACATCAATGTTGTTAATCTGATTTCTTGCCAATTGTTCAACTTTTCTTACTGTAAAATGTCTACTTAAGGAAAATACAAATGTTTATTTCTCTATTATAGAAATCAAACCACACAGGAGCTGGCTTTTTAATAAAGTAACCACAGTAACGGGCGACTGTGGCTCAGTGAATAGTGTGCTGGACTTCAAATCATGGGGTAGCAAGTTCGAGTCCCATTGCATGTCGTTGTGTCCCTGAGACACTTCACCCCAAATTGCTCCTGTGGGCATTGTCCACAGTATTGAGTGTGTAATTCGCTTTGGATAAAAGCATCTAACAAGTAACATGTAATGTAAAGAAAAACAGTGATTATTGTCTATAATTATTAATGTAAAAATAGCCACTGAAATTAATAAGACAACATATATAAGAAAGAAATGAAGACAGTCTTATTATTACATCTGAAAATGTATTCAAAGATGTGTAGTCTTGAGTTTGACTTTTAGGGCTTTTATTTTGAAGGTCACAACCGGATATGGTGGTTGTCATTGTGGTGACTGTGACGCTGGTGTTTCAACAGAACCCGCCGAAAAGCGTCTCCAGGAAACAGAGGATGGACCAATGAATGAAAACAAACAAAGAAACTACACTTGTAGTTCTGACCCTTCTGACCTCAGCTAAAAACACTTAGCATAAACTGATGATTTAAAAATCACTTATATTTTCTTTTCACTACTATAGTTTATATAATACCTCTGGAAATAAGGACAGTTCAAACTCTGCTAATTTTCTGTAGTGAAGAATTGAAGTTCATACCAAATGAGGCCAAATGTATTAAAACAAATAATTAAGATATATATATATTTAAAATGGCTTAATTTGGAGTAATGTTATAGCCTTTGTTTTAATTTATTTTATTCATACATTATGTTTATCAATAGTTTCGTTCTGTTTATCTCGTCTTTTAATCAAGATGATAGTTTAAAAATGTTAGTAATGTAGAAAAAAAGTGCATTATATGTTATTCTTTATCATTTCAGCACCGTCTGGATGGACAGCACCACTGGGGAGTCCGAATCTCGATAACACCCCATAAAATACACACATAGGCTACTTGCCAACCTTGAGACCTCAGAAATCGGGGGGGGGGGGGGGGGGGGGGGGGGTGCTAGTGGATCAACGGAGCTGTTAGATTAACATTAACGTGCTTATTGTAGTTCTGAGTGCAATGCCTTGCGGCCTGTAGCACCATCCTCTTGATGTTGATGGGCTGGACCAGGAAAGGAGTGAACAGAGGGTCGAGTTGTCCATTCTTGTTCTGTTTTTCTGTGACTATCTAGTTGCGCACGCTACTAAAGAGACGCGCTACCATGGAAACCAAAAAATGGTGTAGCTGTAATAAGTCCGAGTGGAAACAGTCGTGTGTAAATCTGATTTAGTCAGAAATCGGGAGAAATGCGGGAGAAATATGACCCCGGGAGGAAACCGGGAGAGGGCTATGAAATCGGGAGTCTCCCGCGAAAATCGGGAGGGTTGGCAAGTATGACACACACACACACACACACACACACACACACACACACACACACACACCACACACACACACACACACACACACACACACACACACACACACACACACACACACACACACACACACACACACACACACACACACACACACACACACACACACACACACACACACACACACAACCAACCATGTAAATGATTTGCAATAGGCCTATCATTCATTGCATTTTCCTCAATTTAATTAACTGAAGTTATTCCTAATGTTGTCTTTGGTGTAACATTACGCCCTCCAAACAAACAAATCAGTAGCCTAATTAACTGAAACCTCCAATCAATTACGCACCGAAAACACTAGAGTGCGCATGCGCTCACCTCCACGCTCAGCCACCACCTGGCTGCTCGTGACGTAGATGAGAGAAAAGCTCCTTTGGTCCGAGACAAGAAGCTTACGAGTACTCACACAGAGGGGGAGAGAGGAAGAGCAGCCCACCTGTGTGTTTCTGCATGAACTGCCTTTGACAACACACACACACGCTCCTCCTGTTACTAGTAAAGCCTGTTAAGTCCCTATAGGTGAGTTCAGGTTTGCATTTGTTTGGAGCAGCTTTTGTCGGGACCGAGCCTTCTTCTTCTATTATTCAGGAAGAAGAGAAGGGAGGAAAAGTCATGGACAAAACCGGAGAATTAAAAAGAAGTTAGCGTATATAGTAAAGTCACCTTTTGTAAACGAGGAAGAAGCAGAGGAACAGGATGGGGATGGATTTCAGCACTCTGCGGACCCTCATCAGCAGATATGTGAGTTTTTACTACGTTTACGCACTCCTAAGTGTGGCTTATCCAAGCCTCTTCTGTGCAGACTAAAGCCCTTTGCAATGTCACCGAGATAAACAGAAAACGTGTAAGCTTTTTTATCATTATTGGTTTCAAATTCCGCCGAAGCAGCTACTCATCCGGATTAAGTTCGCGAAAGGGAGTGGAAAGAGGCTCGTTGGGAAATGACTGGGGAACTGTCTGAAGCGTGAAAACACTCTGAATCCTGTTATTTTTTTAATAGAAAGTTATTGTTTTGTCCTGAAATGTAAAAACAAAAACAATGGCAGTTTGAATTTAGAGTGTAAGTTCCTTATATGACTCAAAATCCCGTCCAAATATAATGTATTGAGGATTTATTTTTAAATGTCATGGTTTAAAACAACATCATTCTGTAATATTAAAATACAACGTGGTGTAGTATAGTTTTACTGATAAAAGTGCTATGTGCTAGACTAAAACGTTATATTTTTTATTGCGGTTTGGCATACAATTCTCAAGTAATATTTGTTTCTTAGATAGTAATTCAAGTGTTGCAGCACACCATGTTCAAACTGGATCATAACATGAGCATGGCAGTGTAAAAGGTGCAGGACTCTACAGAGCAGACCTGACGGAACATGTCAAGAGCTGCAGACAGACAGCGACAGAAAGAAAGGGGCTTAAATCACTGCACTTTTAGCAAATCCAGTGGCAGCTTGTTTTGCATAGTTTGAACTTGTTTTGCATCATTTAAAATGGCTTGAATGACAAAACTTGTGTGCATATCAGTCTATTTTGTGAATTCTCCCAGTTGACTACAAATGGATCAGTCAGTCACATGAATTATGTAATCCAGTTGTTTTCTCCCTGCTACTGAAATCGATGGCCAGCAGTGGAGCAGCCGGCCTCTTTGGCTGTGAGTTGCATTAGGGCTCCACAGTAATGCGTTTGACAATAATCCACATCAGGGTTAGACCTCGGCTCCACGCTCAGCTGAGGCTCAGACACAGTCTCACAACTGTTGAAAAGGGCTGGTTAAAGTCCCTGCTGTGTGGAGGGTGAAATGTAGCTTTATAGTGAGCAACATGCAGAGACAAGTCTGTGACTGGAAGGATGTGTGATGCTGATGAGGTCTGCTGCTGTAATTCATCTGGATAACTGCTTTAGACAAATGGGTTAGGGTTCAATTGATTGCACTGCCGCTGCAAAAACCCCGGATGCAGAGAGGCTGCTTAAGATGAGGATAAGGAACATTTATCTGGCTGTCAATACAGGGCCTTAATGAAATATCTGTCAATACTGCGAGTCAGCTATGATGGAGTATTACCCCCTGTAAGAGAATATTTTAATCTGATCTGTTTATAGAGTCTCTTATGGTTCCTTAGAGTCTGTGATACTGCAAACATCTGCTTGTGGTGTGTAGTCAAAGACTCCTCTGTAGGTTGAGGTCACAGGTCAAACGCTTCTCCTATATCCGTGGGGGAGGGTTGAGACCTGGCTGCATCTCTTTGAGACAAGCAGATCATCGTCTCCCATCGGTTATTGATTATGTAAACGCGGGCTTTCTATGGGCCGGCCTCTCCTCGTGTAGCAGCGATGCTTTGTGGCTTTGGTTCAGAGATAATCATGGTGGACCACGGGACGGTGGAAAACTAAGATGATCTCCCCGGCCGTATGTAATTAATGTACTGTGATCAATAAACTCTCGGTGCTTTTGGCTAACGACGGTTCCAAACTCCTTCATTCTACCTCAACATTGCAACAACAGAAGTTTAACTTCACACCCCCTCTGACCACTCTGTAAATTAGGCTAACTGGAAGTTCAGTCTTCATTTGAATAGCCTATCTGTTTCATAAGAATGAGAGCGTTATAAAGTAAGCATGCCGAGATTTGTCTTTTTATCTGTAAACAAACGGATGGAAGATAAAAGGACTGTGATCACATTTTATGCAGGAGTAGACAATAGCTGTACTATTTAGACAATTTCAAATATTTTTTCAGCATTAAAATTAAAGTAATGTCTTAATATACCTGCAGGAAACTTGATTTATAAACCACTTGGAAAATAAATGAATACTATTATTAACAGCCGGTCTGTTTACTAGTTTCGACATTCGTAA